ATAGTCTGATATAGGTTAAACACTGAGTGACAATAGTCTCATAGGTTAAACACTAAGTGACAATAGTCTGATAGGTTAAACACTGAGCGACAATAGTCTGATAGGTTAAACACTGAAGGACAATAGTCTGATATAGGTTAAACACTGAGTGACAATAGTCTCATAGGTTAAACACTAAGTGACAATAGTCTGATAGGTTAAACACTGAGCGACAATAGTCTGATAGGTTAAACACTGAGGGACAATAGTCTGATATAGGTTAAACACTAAGTGACAATAGTCTGATAGGTTAAACACTGGGTGACAATAGTCTGATAGGTTAAACACTAAGTGACAATAGTCTGATAGGTTAAACACTGGGTGACAATAGTCTGATAGGTTAAACACTGAGTGACAATAGTCTGATAGGTTAAACACTGAGGGACAATAGTCTGATATAGGTTAAACACTAAGTGACAATAGTCTGATAGGTTAACACTGAGTGACAATAGTCTGATAGGTTAAACACTGAGTGACAATAGTCTGATAGGTTAAACACTGAGTGACAATAGTCTGATAGGTTAAACACTGAGTGACAATAGTCTGATAGGTTAAACACTGAGTGACAATAGTCTGATAGGTTAACACTGAGTGACAATAGTCTGATAGGTTAAACACTGAGAGACAATAATCTGGCGGCACAGTTTTACTTGAGAAGAAAACTGAAGACTGAAAAAGGGCTGTGACATAGAGGCTTCAACGCAGAATTTTTTTTCAATTTTATTCTAATATGTTTTATTTTTTTAATTTAATTTTTGTTCACAAATATCTAGTTTCAGCACAACAGGAACCAAAAACCCAATTGTAGTAGACATCATAAATTCTAGGATTTACCGAAATGATTGTTGTCAGATTAACATTACCATGTGGCACAACTCCATATTTCAAACCAGATGGAAAACGACTTAATGGATAAAATGGGGTTCACTCTGCTCCACAAAGATGAGTTCTACTTATAAACACTAATGTAATGACAAATTTACTCCACTTTGAGTATGTTGTATACATAATTGACTCGTGAGCTGCTACATGAAACACGTTTTTATTCACCTTTCTGCGAAAGTGTATAATCACAAATGTGGCGATTCTTATGATGTATGTGCGACAGTAGCTGACCTCATCAATTGTTCACGTGTCAGTTGGGATTAGCAGGTTTTTAAATTTAATGCAAGTCTCTTATACTGACGTTTGATCAATTCGATGTGATTTACAGATTTAAACATTAAATACTGAAAATAAACTGATAGTGAATGTTTGTGAAATTCTGTCTATTGTCAGTATGCATTGTCAAGTCTACCCCAATAAAGATGGCACACAATCCACACCTGCAGAGTCATACTGGCAGATATAATACGATCACACGGTACTAAGTTTCAAAATACACCATTTTTATGAGATGAGATTTATTTCAATATCGAACAATTATCAGATTGAATTTTGATTGTAAAGTAGACTTCCACCCATTGATAATCCGATGATAATCCCCCCTCATTTTGACACACTGTTTGATATGAACATATGCAACCCATTGTTTGTTCACACATAATTTGAACACATGGTACACAAAGACCACGGTGCTTTACATTTTTAACAAACATAAATTCAGACAAATAATTAATAATCACTGGATACATAGTTTCAATAATGTGATTTAACAAAAACAAAAATTGTCAAAGCAGCAATTGAATAGATTCCCTTGTGTTGGGAACTGGAAGAAGAAATTCGATAGTATTTGAAAACAAAAACACACAGGTAGTGTATCACGTTGTTAGCCACAATTCTGATAGGGTTATCGCATATGGCAGCTGGACACAAACACAATACCATTTTTGCAATATTCCGAAATGCGATTAGTAAATAACAAATTATTGTTATCAAGGATATATAGATTTTTAACTGCGGAAAGCTGTAACATAGATTGAATTGACATGTTCACCATATGCTGCGTTCCTTTTAAAAACAAGCGGCTATTTGCCATCAGGATATTTTATTACGCCCATAATCATAATTCAAACCTTACAGGTAATGAGGAGTTCTGTTGATCCCTTAGTATCTATAATCTCGCTAGATGCAGGCCTGCAGATCATTTAAATAACAAAGTTAGAATTTAAATGTTATCTAGGATTATTAGCTTTGACTGAACTTTGCTATTAAGACTATCATGGCGTTTGCACTAAAAGCGTGCAGACATATCTCTGGGTAATATTTGTTTGACATCGGCCAATCGTATCACTCTACCGTATATCCCTAGGGTTGCATCAATGACCTTTGGGCATGTTGGAAATAAGGGTAACCAAGCTGGGACTGATCCACTATTGGGGTGTGCATTTAAAAGTTGTAAATTCGCCCCTCTCATTTTGTTTAATAAAGTGAAAGTAATAAGAAACTTTTTACTTCATATTTCAGATTCACTTCTTGCAATGAATTTATTCCATATATGAATCTTGTGAAGTTTTTAAAATATAGAAACACTGGGACTTTCTAAATTCTTCAGTATTTCAAGAATCAAAATTAAAAAAATTAGATGCCACAGTCAGTGATTTTGCATTTCTGATATTCAGTGGAAAGTAGGGAACCGATGGACAAATAGATCTTTAGACAAATAATTAAAAAGCCATATATAATTGGTTATATATAGTACATAAAGAACTAAAATGATTGAACATCATATAAATGTGCTAATATTTGATGTATTACATATCGACAAAAAAGATGTTATCATCCATAACTTGCGAAGAAATGTCATTATTCTTGAATGAAGCAGACAGTGTTTCTTTATCTGATCGGTAAACTTGAAAAAAAAAAATGTAAAAGTACATGTATTGCACACTAGAGAGCAAGATAGCGCTGAATCACAATCATACGCTGAGAACAAAAGAGAAACCACAAGACTGCCTTTATTTGAAGGCTGCAGGGGAGACTTGATAGCTAGGCTGGAAAGCAGTCTGTGATAGAGAGATTGATGTTCAATTTATCAAGCATTATTACTGCGTTGGTTTTATTTTCTCTCACTTCCTTTGTGATACCGCAACATGACTACATCCCTAGATAATAGGGATATTGACTGTCAAATTTAAAACACAGTAAAAACAGTATCTTTGCCCCAGCGATTGTGTATCTACTTTTAATAAAAAAAATCATCATTCTTGTCATTAAAAATAAATAGCAAAATGAGTAAAAACTAGATGATATTGACATTTTTTTTTTGCGGTAAGCCTACAAGTATGCAAGCCTCAGGCATTTGCAAGAGAAAAAAAAACAACTTTCAATTATGAGTTCTTTCCCCATCAACAGTAAATGTATATGATTTAAAGCTTGCAAATGGAAACGGACAGACTTAATGTCTGGGGTATTTGGGAGAGGGTTAATTGCCCTGCAATGCCAGATTACAACTAAAACGCTGGAAAGGCCAAACCCGAGAGCACTAATATCACTTTGCAATCATATTTCACTACATCTTGAATAACTTGCGTTGCATTTCATCGAATCATACTAAAATGAAAATGAATTATTTTTAGTCTACAGTAAATTATTCCATCATTTTAAATGTTCCATTAGCTTGGGACTATTTGTTTTAATATAAAAACACCTATTTGAGACGAAATATTATCCATCGTTAAACAATCATTCCCCAGTAAATTTAGATATTAATTTACAATTTATCGAATATGTTACATCACTTGGAACATTATACTTGATTTATACACTATTTTTATTCATTATAAAATACAAAATGTGTTACTCCCCAAGGCAACTGAAATGATGTCTCAGTCATGCCACACAATTCAATATTCTTATTATATTTATTGTAAATTATTCAATGATTTATTTTTCGACTTGAAATTTATTTCCCCCTAATTATTATAATAATCTAAAGTGG